TTGAAAAGTACGTCAGAAAAAATACACTACGCGAAACAATGGCTTGTTGCGAGAAGGACGTTTACATTGTTTTTTTTTCTTACTGTTACACATAATGACCTTTTAACTGTTTAAAATTCAAAACCCTGTGGCCGGCGTTTGTTGTGCTATATAATAATAATGCATAAATACATTTATATATATATATATATATATATATATATGTATACACTTACACAGAAATTATACATAGCTCCCTACGAGAAGTAAATTCGCTTTCATGTGTTAATTTGCATTGTGTTCTGAACACTTCTCGGTGGCGGCGGCGGTGACATCGATACTAATTAAGTTAGTTACTGCGACAAAAAATTAACGGGCGTGTACACAACAACCCATTATACCAAAACCTTAAAAATAAATAAAAACGTTTTTGACCTTTCCGTGAACCTGATCATAAAAACAAAACAAAAACATTACATGATTCGGGCATATTTTATTAAGCATGTAATATGTGTGTTAAGTGTAAATTAATTAGTTTATAAATATGTATATCGTCTTGTACATAGGTTTATGGAATGGTAATAAGGGAAGGGAATGGATGGTTTTTCGAATTCGCTCACTTGGTGCTCACGAACCGCGACTTTTATTGATTATTCTTATATGCGTAATATAAGCAATAATAATTTGTGAATAATACTGCAACCTACTTACCTACATAGTATAATATAAACATATTGTGTAGACTATATTTTAATTATATAATAGGGGAGTCTACCCTCTCTTCAATCTTCAACAATTCATCGGCTTTATAATCTTTTGAAACATATCAATGGTTAAAGCCATTTGAAGTTTTTTGAAATTTTCCGATTTATTTAAACATAACTGTTTAAATCGTTGATTGTTATGAGAATTGATATGTATATCAAACATTTAAACATTTACTACTGATGAATTAATTCATTACTTTTAAAAGATTCATTGACAAATATTTAATATTAGTTTTTTCTGTAATTATACATTATTTATCATATCTGATAAGTGTGCAATTATTTTTAATAATATAATATATTTAACTCTGTTTATTTTACTATATTAATAATGTAACTATAACTAATTGTATAGATTGTTACATTTGGTAACTTAATATCCAAATGTTTTGAATTTTAAATTGATATTATAGTGTATGCCTTAATTATTCATATTATGTTTTTGCATGTATCTACATTTTTATAGGCTACATTTTATGGTCAATATTCACAACAGATTAATTATTGTTATGTGCAGGTATATATTTTATATTTAAAGTAACAAATTTTGCCAACTCTGATAACTTGATCGTAAAATATAATATAATATCATTATTATTCTGAGAGAAATAACTTATCCAAAATGTTTTTTCATTTTAATCAAAAATAAAATATTAAGTCTTATTTTGACTACATTACCTAGATTAATAATTAAATAAAAATGTAAATTTTATGCTTACATCGAAATAAATATTTTCAAAAACGTACATTATATGTCATTATAAGACCTATTTATCTTGTATCTGCAAGAGACGTCTCATTATTATTTTTTTAATTCAAAGAAATACGTGTGGTTCGACGTTATATTTTTTACGATTTGATTTGAATTAATATTATTATCTGATTTATGCAATTTGGTTTAACGTATGTATACCTCGATTTACCGCACATAAGTTTTATTAAACTTAAAGATAATATTATTATCGACCGATACATGCATATAGGTACGCGTGATGTTATAATAATTATGTGATTTCAACGTCTGATTAAACTTTTTCCCTTGTACAATTATTAAATGTGGAGAATCTTTTTCGCCGTTATATCAGCGGAAAAAAATTAACTATGGGTACTTACTTACTTAAAGATCATTGGATGGAATAATAATATATAAGGGTACGGGAAAGAAAAACAAACACGAACACGATGCAATGCATTTTAAATTCCAAATTATGTGCATTATTTATATGAGGTGATTTTTTTTTTTTATCACAAAGCCATTATTTGATTGATAAATTTGCTTAAAAAAAGAACACTATTTAAAATACCTAGCTAATTTTTTTTTTTTTTTTTTTGAAAAAAATATATTTTTAATTTCATACTGAAGCAAATTATTTATTTAAGTATTTTGATGAGTGAAGTGATGAAATATAAAGGTATCTCACAAAATATCAGTTCATATTTACTTTACTCATTTAAACTTTAAACTGATAGTTATAATCATTATTAAACAACTATTTTCTTTCATAAGAAATTAATTTTAATCTATTTCAATTCTAGTATACATATAATATCGTGATTAGTCATATAAATTATTGTATATTATCATATTGTTATTAAAATAGTAAAAAAAACGATTAATAACGTTTAAAAAAGTACACATATATTTTTTTAATGTGTTGTTATAAATTTCAATTATGTAAAAAAAAAATACTGTTTGGCAATAAAACAATCAATTTACCTATTGATTATAGGTTTATGCTTATCTGTTTTAAAACGTAATATTTATTAACGGTAATGTTATTTTAAACCACATATTTAAAAAAAAAAATGTTAATAGAGCATACAATTTTCATTTTGAACATAAATTATCTAAACTAAATAGGCATAACCGAAATATTATTTTTTATTATATTAATATTATTATACTTACGTAAATTATTGAGCAGAGGCCTATTTCGGCTGATTGTCAACCTATATTATTATTAAAACCTGTTTTAATCTTTTTTTTTTATATCTAGTACATATTTTGTGGGGTTTTTCCATTTCTTACGGTTTATATATAGGTTTTAGATGAGTGAATTTCTATTAATACATATTTTTTCTCATTCTGTAAGAATCCATTTAAGATATTGACAACATCGCGTCTTAGTATGTTATTAAAGAATGGGCCGTCAGCACTCTTATACTCTACCTATGATATAGGTATATATATATATATATATATATCACTTCAAACTAGAGCTAAGATTTAAATAAATTTACTAAATACAATATTTTTTACGTTGACAAGTTTTAAATATTGATGAATGCATTTCAAATTATTCTGAATAAAATAAACATAATATTATAATGTTATACTTTGCTATACATTATAATGCATATCATTTTTAATTGGTACGGATATTTCATTATTTTTCAACAATTTTAAATAATTAATCCAAAAAATATTTTATCCAATAACATAATATGTAAATGTATTTCTGGGTACTCTTCGTACAAGTTTTTTTAATTTCGAAGTATTATTTACGGCCAATTTTAATGTCGTAGATCATTGGAAGGGCTCGGAAGTCTTAGAAAATGTATATTTTATTTTTGGTAAGATATAGAACATCGAAAGTAAGGTCAAAATTTGTTTCAAACCTTTCTTTTTAATTTGAGAAATAGTATTTAAAAGTGCGTTAGTTTGTAAGTACTGAAAATGTAGTTTCTTAGCGCTATAACTTTCGTGTTAAATGTTAGTATAAACTCATTAGTGATTAGTTAATTTCATTTGTAATTATTGAGTTATTACACTATTGAAATGAATATGGAGACAAAGATCATTATATAAAAATCTTTTATCATAAAAACAATAACATTTTGTACTTTTTAATAATTATAATAATATTTTTAAACTACAAGGTATTTTTATATTTTTTAAATTTTTTAAATGCATAAACTATAATTAGAATTTTATGTTGAATTCATCAACATATTTTAAACTTTTTAAAAAATAAATGTGAGTAGTTCTGCAGTATATCTCTGTAATATAATTAAACAAAAAAAAAATGTGCATGAAAAATCAAAAAAAATCCGGATGATTCAGTGCGAGACGACCCGATTCAAATATTGTATTGTCCCGTGGAACGTTAAGCACACGGAATGTGTATTTCGTTGTTTCCACGGTGTGTGCACGCATTGTCTTTAGTATGATATTAATATATATACATTTTACATACATGTTCTGAACAAACGCGCATTGTATCGGCGACTCGAACGTGAATATTATGAATATTATACGCTGCATTATTAATATTATCATTATATTAATGTTTAACGCACATGGCTGCTATCCGAAAATACGGTATTGTCTACCTACACACGCCAACGAGAAAACATTGTTCTTTGCCAAGACTTTGTTTGAGAATAACTTTTTGATTCCTTACCTCTGGTGTACATACAAACACTCGCGAAATTAATAATAATATATATATATATACACATTATACAACCGTGTACTGGGTATTACATTGCTTCGGTAATAGTAGGCAGGTACATACCTTGCTTGACCATTGAAAATTATTGTCCCTTTACGCCACTACACCAATGTTATATTATATGTGTGTGTTATAGTGCGAAAAACTATTGTAGTTCGACAAATAAATGATCAATTACAAATGACTTTTTGTGTTAGGTTATTTCTTCTTTCTTTTCGTTTATTCTATGATATTCTTTTTGCCGCTTTTAACATCCACGTGTTGATCATGATGTATTATATAGTTTTGTGTGTTTAAAACCTATTGAGGCTGTTTCACACGCATACCTTAAGCTTACGTCTTTTAAGTTTTCTGAGACACTAAATATATTTTCGATAAGTGAATAGTATACGTGAATGCAACCGCATTTGAGAAGACATTTGAAAATACATATTAATATTAATTATAATAACATATATATATATATGAGTATAATAAATGCGTTATGTTATTACGTCATTGAGAGGATCGTCGATGTATCTCCTTAAACCGTTATTATAATTTTAATTTAGTAGCATCCAACTTTATTTTTTTTCAAATATCATAATTAAAACTACAATTTGGAGCAAATATTGTATGTAGTCTTGTATAATTATTATAAATAATCTATAAGGTGTCTTGAAACGTATAGATTAATTTCTTACAAGCTATAGTGAATTATATATTAGGACTATTCATCTATTTATAAATGTATGAATATTGTTTTGATTTCTTATTTATCAGCTGACAATTGATACTAATTTCGATATTTTGTTTATAGAATTCCAGAGGGATGTACAGAACGCTGATGATCTTGTCGGGCGCGGCGGCTGGTCTGCTATTTGCCCGGATCTCGTTAATGGGCGATAGCGGACCACCTGTGTTCGCAGCCGCCGATAATCCGACCGCCAAGTCACCCAGTCTGGTAACTCGGACACTCACATTTCTCTACTTACCCGCTGAAAACTTCCGGTTGCTTGTCTACCCTCGGAAGCTGAGCTTTGACTGGTCTATGGACGCCGTTACACCCATCACTTCCATCTACGATCCTAGGAACGCGCTTTCTATCGCTCTGTACGTGGCCCTATTTGCTGCGGCAAGGCGATCTGCCGTAGCTTCGTCTAGAGCCAGATTACACCATTATCGGCCTCACAGATGTTGTGCAAAGACTAAGTATGATCGACCGGCCGACCTACCCGACGACCCGGTAAATAAATATAAATTTCGTTTTCATCTTATCCGCACATAATATTACGATTAATACTTTTATAAATATATATTTATTTTTGTCAATTTTGGAAACAGATATTATTTGTAGTATTGATAAGGCATGAAATTGAATTTTTGAAAATGTTTATAATATGCTTAGAAATAATTAATCCTTCGTCCTCTGTTAGTATAATATTCATTCGGTATAATTATACGAGTATGATATATTTAGGTTAGGCAGTATAATATATGCTAACGATTATTTAAATTGTACCTATTATTGGTTCAGTTTTATGAAAATTAATAACTGAACAAATGATTTTAAAGGTCATTCAAGATGTTTTTCATTATTATTATATTTTATTAATATTTTCGAATAAATATTCATTTATACGGTTTGATATTTTTGTTTTCAATTTAACAAAAATCGGTCAGTCTACCTATATTTCATTTTTTTTCTCTTTCTTATTTTAAATATATATTATTTTAACATGTTGTTTTGTCAAATTTTAATCGGATTTCATCTTTTTCTGTTGAAAAATAATATACTTCCATATTGCTTACGAGTAAGCAGAAATTATCCATTGTTATTTTTTAGTATTTTTTAATATATTAGACCTATGATTATAGTTATTGTCACTCGTTAGTTGATAGTTTTTTGTCTATTTTTATTATTTTAATGTTTTTGAAAAAACTCCTAATCTAACTCACATATAGACAACAAATTAATTTCTAATCATTTCAAATCAATTGTATTTTTACACTGAACATTAGCGATCGCTCTTAAAAACATGTCACTTTTATTGACAATATAATATCATAATATTTGTAGGCAAGGGCCATTGGACTTGCTGTAGCCATGACTGCCATACCGTTCGTTCCGGTGTCTAACTTGTTCTTTTACGTGGGATTTGTGCTGGCCGAGCGGGTGCTGTACATGCCTAGTGTTGGCTACTGCTTTATGTTCGGGTATGGTTACACGGCGCTGGAACGTCGATTGGGACCGAAGTGGCCAAGGATGGGGCTAATAGTGTTACTCATCGTATATGGTGCCCGAACGATCATCAGGAACAATGACTGGCAAGACGACGAGTCACTGTATCGATCGGGTTTACACATCAATCCGCCCAAAGGTAAGTGAATTTTTTTCAAATTTACAAAATATTATGATTATTACTATTTTATTTAAAAAAAATATCATTATTTAACGAGAAGCTCAATAAAAAAAGAGATAAAACGAATTTGATTACAACGAACTTATTGATAATACTGATAATTTTTCAACGACCATTTGAGTCTTAGACCATATATATGTAGAAATGACTAAGTAATAATTCCAATGTGAAATACGAAACGCACTGATATAATATTATTCTTAGATAAACAATGTTATGTTTCAGTTAATAGTTTTAATATACGTAATGTCATATCGACTCTTAACTACAATTTAAACTAAAAAAATGTAGTCACGCCATGCGTCATTTCCCAATTTCATCGAAGTGAACTATTTGGTTATCGGTTCAGGGGCTATGTACCGTTTAATATAAATATCGTCATAACAGTAGATGGGTTGAGGTCTGCCAAAAACTTTGAGCAATGGCGTATTATAATATATTTTATTATACGTACATATACTGTTGCACAGACTTCCGGCATCGATTTATTCATTTTATTATTACGGGTTGGGTAAAACTCGATTCGCCCACGGGCCTATACTTTATTTTACACACACAAAATCACAAAATCCGACGCCGCGAAATTTTGTAAAGAGAATAGAATATATTATTATTACACATACGCGTTATATTATACAACGTGCTATTTCGAGGGTAGAAAAAGGTCGTTTTAGATTTGAGTAATTCGTTTTCGTATGGAACGATATTATTTTTAAATATACAAGTTTGCGAAATATCGTCATATGAAAATATATATTATAATGAGTTATATTTTACGCGAGGATACTAATTAGCTGAAGGTGCATAATACGCATAGAATTCGCAGCAGAAGTCTAACTTTACTACGAACATATTATACAGGGGATCTATTCATATTGCAAATCTTTCGTTTTTCTAAAAAACTAACATGAGAATTAGAAGCGCAGAAATATTATACCTAAGGGCTAAGTTTGATGACTTAAAAACAGCAAGGGTGCCATGTTTATAGTTCTCATATTACATGTCTTACCCCCACCACTGATCACTATGCATCTCTGTATTAAATTCTACCTTCGCTTTTAAATGAAGGACGTTGTTGTTTTTTTTAAATAATAAAAAATTGATGTTCAGTTTTATAGTCATAATTTTAAAACAAATCAAATAATCTTGATCTTGTATTCAGTTTCTACAATTTCATCGGTTATTTTATACCAAGGTTTTATTTTTATTATTTAAAATATTTCATATGTCATGAGTGAACGTTTGATTTTAGCTGAATGATATTTTGAGAATTATATACATAAAACACACATACACAAAATCCAATCTATCTAGGTCATTATAGTATTATTTTATACTGCGAAAATATTTGTAATTGATAGATCACGCGTTTTACCTACAACACTAAACCTTAGATGATCGCTTATTGGTAGATTACATATTATTGCAGCAGTCTCCTACAGTTTATTACAGTTGAATAAATTTAACATTTACTTAAACATCACTACTCTTTAAATATTATTGGTTATTTTGTTTTATATTATAGTTATGAGATATAATAATATAAGTAATTATATTTAATTTTGGCGCTCAACAATCATTTTTTTGAAACCATTTAAAAAAAAAATAAAAAATTAACATATTTGTATAGATTTTTACTTGATAATTTGTATTCAGTTGTGCACGCTCTACGTGTATTAAAATAAAATATAAGAATAAAATGGCATGATATTATTATACTACGCAAATATTTCAAACTACCCCGTACGATAGGAAAAAAAAATAATAACAATAAAAACCGATGAAAGACAAACAACACTCTGAAACGATAACATTTACCAAACAGGGCTGCCTGCGCCGCTATGATAAACTTTAATACGTATTTTAAACGATATTTCCCTTCACGTTGCGTCTATTAAAATATAATCGTTCATTGTATGTATTATATTATTATAATAAAGCAAGTTTCGATTACATTTTTTCTATATGATAGTGGAAATAAGTGGAAAAAGTATAATCTCACTGTGCACCATCAGCATTCAGGTTTATTTTTGTAGAAGAAAAATATAATTTCGTATAAAATATATACAAATTTTTCTTCCATATTAAATACATACGAAAGAAAGGGGTGATACTAGGTAGGGTTCTCTATATCTGTAAATGTAATTTTCATGATGTACGGGTGGTATTCATAACTTAAAAATAGTTTACTCTAAGCTTTGTACAATTTTTGTGTATTATATGAAAAAAATTACAACTCCAGGACATAATAAAACGCAAAAGAAAGATGTCTGGCGAATGGTAGTGGGTTGTGGAAAAAATAAAAACCATGTCATTAACGAAAAAAATACGAAAAATATAACAGTTTTGTAATTTGAATATTATAGTTATATTAACTGGGCGGAAGAAAATATTTTATTATTATTATTTTTAATGTCGACGTACGCGTACAGATATTTTATTTGAACAATTCAAATTTATCGTTTACTCAACGCTTATAAAGGTTCTTGTATATTATAATATTGGTAGTGATAATTGAGAAGTATTTTTTTTTTTTTTTTTGGAAGTAATTGAGAACAGCTCTAACAAAGTTTCGAATCACTAAGCAATCGAGATTTTTATAATATAGAAATCATAACACTGAAAAGATATAGTGGTTATAAAATGGCCATATGCTGTTATCTCGTCATCATTATTCACTGAGGTCGTCGCTCACGGTAATAAAATCAGTTTTGCAAAGTTGTTGGTGGCAACTATTATTGAACAATAAAATTGTACAATTATTAATTTTTTTTTTATACATTCTTGAATTAAACATCGTTTTGGTACTTCAAGTGATTCACCGAGATTATAATTAAATCATTTTTAATAATAAAAATTATAAAATCATTATATCTAATTTGAGATTGTTAAAAACTTAAATCTTAAAACTTTAAATTAGTTCAATTTATTTCTATAGTGTCAATCGTATCCAGAGCTTGCATTAAACGGTAAATTTGTATTTTGAGTAGTATATAGTATTATAAACAATGTTATTTAAGTGTTAAAAATTAGACCAGGATTAAGACAAACTATTGTTTGAATACATTTTAAGTGTTTCCTATTCTTCAATGTTTGCATTTGTGAGGTATAAGTGCATTTGTTGTGTGTATAATAATTTAATTATTTTAAAATTAAAATTTAACAAATATTTAATTGAATGCGAGTATGTGTATACGATTTCACGTGATAAAATAGATATTTTTATGACTACAAACTGTGTTATTTATTATTTAAATTGAAAAACTTCAAACATATTAGTTTAACATAATAAACATTTGGTTTGAGATTGTCTGTAAACATAATTCTATATTACTTAAAGTACATAACCATGCTTTAATAATTTTGAATATATTTTAAAATTACACATATTATTTAAAATGAAATACGTAATAGCTAAATTCATTATGTTTATATATATGTTTATTTTAAACCGTTTGAACGATAGAAATTCTTTGTCTGTACTTAAATTATACTGTTGACTATAGTGTCTTTTGGTTTCATTTTATCTAATTCCCTGAAGCAAGTGAGATAAACTCACTTTCAAGTATATAAGTAAATCTGCACTATACACATTACATTGATTTTCATAGTTAGACTTTGTTACTCAAATTGATTAAATATATTTTCACGTAAAACGAGAATAAATCAAAATGTGAAATAAATGAGTAAAAAATAAAGTTAATGTTGACATTAAAATATATATATATATATATATATTACAATAATTATATTTTTGGTCACGTTTTTTCCTAATTAGTTTGAATAATTTTTTAATGAAAAATCGTCTATAACACCTTTACCAATGACTCGTATGTACACAAACGGAAAGTTTTTATTAATAGTGTATAAATACATGGGAAGTGCCATTACATACCCGATGGAAACAATGTTTTTTCGATACAACATCCCACGCCTGCATTTAAATAAAACCATAAATTTATCTGAGATTTCACAATACCAATAAAATACTTTATTATTAAGATTTAAAATTTTAAAATATTTTTCATGCGCAAACGTTCTAAAAAGCGCTTTAAATAATTTGTTTAATTATTGAACACTGGAAACGTCACGGTTTGTTTCGTATATTATTATCAAATTTTTATTATACTAATTATCTATTATACTATTATTATCACTATCGTTATTAGCGTGTAAAATTATATTAAAATAAATATTGGATGATTTTTAAACAGAAGTTATTAATATCCTACATCTTACCAATTATTTATTATTTGATAGTCATGAATAAAAAAAATGACTACAATAATATATTATTTTAAAAATTATCAAATTAAAATAATATAAACATACGTCAATTATCGTATTATTTACAGTAGTTAAATGAATTATAGTAATTGTTAATCAAGTACCAGTTAATTGTAAGGTATAGCGCTGCACAGTAGTTTAAAATTGTTTTTTATTTCTTATAATAAACATTTATTTTTATTGATAATAAATGTTTTAACATTATAACCATGAAGTATAAACGTATTTTGAAATGTTTAATCCACGTTTCTGAACATATCACAAATGATTTTCTCCACATTATTCACTTGCAAAATTGTTTGCCTTTTCTTGAAGTATTTGTTTGTTTAGAGGTACATTTTTTCATCGTTAAATGGAAAACCAATTTAATATAATATATATATATATTATCTTTATACGTGTGGGCATATTGTTATTTCCTTGTTATCCAAAATCAATAAAATTTACTATAAATGTATTTATGTTTTATAATAATTAATAGTAACCTTAAATGTAGGTATACAAGATGATACATTTAAGCGTTAATGGAATACAATCATTATTTAAAAAACTTTTTAACTTTAGTAAAATATATTTGATATAATTTAAAAATTAAATTGGTGAAAGAAAAGTTATTAAAACTTAATATTGGTTTAATTTGATGAAGAAATTACTTTAAGCATACGATTTAT